TCTTGTCAAAGAAACTGAGTTGCGTCTTTTATTAAAACTTACTTGTTACCTTAGGTTTAAGATATTTTTAATTAGTAAGAGTGTAATAATAATATTGGCTTAATAAATGTAAACATAATATTTTTAGCGTCAAACATAATATTACAAGTAACGCAGGGAATCAGTTACATAATATTGACTTAATAAATGTAAACATAATATTTTTAGCGTCAAACATAATATTACAAGTAACGCAGGGAATCAGTTACATAATATTGGCTTAATAAATTTAAACATAATATTTTTAGCGTCAAACATAATATATTCAACATTAAATTTCAAAAATGCATTATATGGTGTTCAGACTGTTACTGTGGCCATATGACATGCATTATATGGTGTTCAGACTGTTGTCATACAGCTCATTGATAGGCCTGCAGAGTCATTGATAGGCATGCAAGGTCACATGTGAACCGCAGAGTGTTGTCATACAGCTCACCAAATTGTTATTAATACTAAAGCTCGTCTGTAGTATTATCATATCAATTAGTAAAACAATCTTTGCAAACACAATTTTTGCTATGTCTCAAACACCACAATATATGATTTCTGCCCATCTTAACGGTGAAGTTTTTGAATGTGAAATAACGAGTTACAATTTCAGAAACACTAATGTTACGAGATTTTTAATTGACAGAAGGTCTAATTTTTTACACCTGAAGTCGATATTAGAAAAATAACTGCAATGTGGTCCTGTTGGCCAAATAATATACAAAAATCCAGTGTTTTTTGAAGGGCATGGTGAATGCAAATTTTTTCCGTTAAAGGTTCGAGACGATGAAGATGTGCGTAACATGTTCCGCTGTCACGAGTATTTTGGTTTCTCAGATATCGCGTTATATGTTACGTTACAACAATAACAACTGTCTCAACAACTTGATTCTTCTCAAGTTTTTTGCGAATCTGACGAGGAACACGCTGAAGTCAATGTCATTGACGAAGAAGAAGAAGCAGTTGAATTCACTATTGACGAGATGGTGAACAACGAGGAAGAGGGGGTTCTACCCGGCCATGTTTATTACCCACCTCAGCACATGAAAAATCTTGACTTAGGTGGCGATGAACCCTCAACTGATATTTTCTACAACCACAACTACGCAACAGAAGGGAAACTAAAAGAGGGTGACGAGTTTCATACCAAAGAAGATTGTGTCCGGGCAATCAAACAATTTCATATGGAGTTGTCAGCTGATTATAGAGTCGATCGGACAAATCCGACGCGGTATACAATCTATTATCGTAACGAGGAGTGCCCGTTCCGATTAACAACATCTTTCAGGAAGAGAAGTGATTCCTGGAAGATAGGGTCAATGGGTCCGGCCCGCACTTGTATAATCTCAAATCCGATGCAGGACCATCGCAAACTCAGCTCTCGATTGATTTACGATGAGATTCTGTCAGTCGTTAGCGACAACCCGTCTTTGAAGGTCAGTACCATAATTGCACATATGGTGCAAATGTACAATTACACTCCTTCATACCGAAAAATCTGGATTGCTGGGACTAAAGCGGTTGAAAGGGTGTTTGGAAATTGGGAGGAGTCGTACAAGGAACTTCCAAAACTCCTGGTGGCTCTTAAACACTACTCTCCAGGGACTGTTGCCATATTGGAGACAATGCATGCGTGTACACCAGACGGGATTTGCGTGGGTGGAAATGGAATCTTTCACAGACTCTTTTGGGTGTTTGAACCATGCATCAAAGGGTTTGCATATTGTAAACCTATAATTCAAATTGACGACACTTGGTTATACGGGAAATATAAGGGTACCCTACTCATGGCTGTGGCACAGGACGGGAACAACAACATCTTTCCAATAGCCTTCGCTATAGTTGAAGGGGAGACTGCTGGGGGTTGGAGTTTTTTCTTAAAAAATCTCCGCTTTTACGTGTCTCCCCAATCTAACTTATGTTTGATCTCTGATCGACACCCATCAATCGAGAGTGCATACAACAACCTTGATAACGGTTGGTAGGATCCTCCCTCGACCCACGTCTATTGCATAAGACATATCGCCCAAAATTTTATGCGGGAAATCAAAGACAAGACGCTACAGAAGAAGGTTGTGAATGCAGGATATGCACTAACAGAACCCACATTCAAATACTACCGTGATGAAATCAGACTAACAAATGCAGATGCATTAAGATGGATTGATAACATTCACAAAGAGAAATGGACACGGGCATACGACTACGGGGTGCGATGGGGGCCACATGACAACTAACCTCGTTGAATAAATGAATTCTGTTTTCAAGGGAATCTGAAACCTACCGATAACTGCCTTGGTAAAGGCAACATATTTTAGGCTAGGCACACTCTTTGATAGCAGACGTACGAAGTGGGCTTCAGTATTACAATCGGGTCAGCTGTACAGTGATACTTCAATGAAATTCATGAAAGACGAAGCTGCCAAAGCCAACACATATATGGTCACAATCTTTGACCATAATAAAGGTTGGTTCAGCGCTGCCGAATCAATTGATCACAACGAAGGAAGGCCTAGGGGATGTTACCGTGTTGAACTGGAAAGGAGCTGGTGTGATTGTGGGAAGTTTCAGGCATTTCGTATGCCTTGCTCACATGTTATAGCAGCATGTTTGAAGGCACGACAGGACCCAGCCAACCTTTTTTCTGCAGTGTACCAAGTGATAAGTCTATGCAATGTCTACACATGTAGCTTTCAGGTGGTGGCAAAGAAGGACTATTGGCCTCAATACGACATAATGACTTGATGCGCAGAAAGAAAAAGGGTCACCCTAACAGCACGCACATTCGAACGGAGATGGATACCGCAGACAAGATGGTAAGATTATGTAGTTCGTGTCGGCAACCAGGACACAATCATATAAAATATACTAACGTAGGATCAACCAGCAGATCATAGTTTCATATGTAACTGTGTCCCTTTAAATCAATAGCAAATTTCATTCCATTTAAAGCATACTTAACGATTACAATTAGCAAGCGACAGAAATTAAACAAACATAACTTAATATCACAATAACATTCCGAAAATAACAACAACATAAAGACATAAAACAAAACAATGCACTAAGGCATCTACGATATCATGACCATCAACGTTATCTTCTTTGGTGTTAACATCATCACAAGGACACCAGCATCATTTTCCACTTTTCTTCATTCACGAGTAACTCAGTTTCTCCCAGCCTCCTCGACCAACCTCTCGATTTTCCTAATCTTTTCTCCTGGAGCAATATCTCCGCCTAGCCAGCGGTTTAGTTCCCTATGCAAATGCTCCAATGTCTGCGTATTCCACAGGAGCACCTTCATCGGAGGCTTCGTTGCTGGAAAAAAAACTAGGGCATTTCTTTTCATTAAATCGAATGTTGAAAAGGGTTCCTCCGATGCTGATGACGACGACGAAGAACGTTGATTTAGAAATGCATACATTCTAGACTCCACTCCACTCAAAATTGTTAACACTTCAGTCTTTTGGTATACAATGTTGTGAAACACATATATGTGTTTGCAGTCGTATTTATAGAAAAATAGAATAGTACGTGCCGCATATGACATGTCTTAAATACCCTTACAAAATTTATATCTTTTAAAATTCAATGATTAATCATATGTTTATTATGTTTTAAATTTTATAATTTAAATCAATTTATATACTTTTAAATTCAATGGTTAATCAATTTTAATTTTTTATTTAATTTGATTTATAATTTAAAATTTTAAAAATGTTTATAACTTAAAAACAATAATTATTATTTTAAAATTATATCACAATTATATTTATATTAAACCTAAATGTATAAAAAATATATATAATGTAAACCTAAAAAATATTTAGGTCAATTTATTAAACTTAAAAAATATTTATATCAATTTATTAACCTAACAAATATTTATTAAACCTAAAAAATATTTATATCAATTTAAGTTTATTGTTAATTAAACCTAAGTTTATTTATATGTAAAATGCGTAAACCCTAAAACTATTTGTCTGAGTCGTCAAATGAATGGGCGACTTTACTAAAACCCAAGCTGTGTCGCTATTTAATTTGGCGACTTTACTAAAGTCCATTTTCAATTTTGTCTGTGTCACCATATGATTTGACGACTGCATGCTGAAATGTGACCACTTTAAAAAAAAATTTGAATCTTCCTTTAAATGATAATTTTTTTGAAATACATAGATATACTAAAAAAAAATTCTAAAAATGAGCTCCCATTAAAAAAAAAAAAAGAAAGGAACAAAATTCACTTAATCATAAAAAATAAGATTTCATTAATTCATATCGGTAGTATATTATTTGGATTCTTCCTATTTCATGAAAGGATACCTACATACATGATTCAACGGACCACTTTTATTACACGTCCCACCTTTTCCTACTACTCTATCTATATTTTTAATTGCTGTCAACATCTTATTTCACTTAATAAGTTAATATATATTGCCATATATTATTATCCGTTTTACTCTCTTCACTCTTAATAAATATTAAATCCTGAAAATAGGATATACTAAAAACGTAAATTAATTTTATAATATCAACAAATTATTACGCTGTATTCTATTATATTAAGCTCTAATTTTTAATTTATTTGATATGACATAATTAAGTGATAAATTCCTATTAATAAATGTGTAAAATTATTTTGTAATAACTCTTAAAACTTAATAATTTATTCAATTTAACAGATGAATTATTTAACTTTCCAATATTTTATAATTGAAGCTTATCTGTAGAGGAGCAATAATCAACCAGTATGGAGGTTGCAGGTAGTAGAAAGAATCATCCTATAACTGCAACGCTGGCACAATGAACTTAAAAAAAAATGAAAAGCTCCACACGGGTTTAACGCTTAAATGTTAGTAAAAGTCAATATATCTATAGGACGTGTGAAACTCTCATAACAAGACTTCCCTTTTATATATCCAACTCACAACTTCACATTATAACTTCTCTCTCTCAAATCAAAAATGGAAGAAAAGCAACGAAAACAGTGGGATTGTGGAAGCACGTTATACGACTCGTACGAGTTAAACTCGTTCAAACGCCAAATCGACTCAGCAATAGCGAACTCACCAAGAACACATTCCATGCCTCATTTACCTCAACGAGCCAAACTGCAACTTCAATTTCACGACTCACCACCTTCTTCTCAAATTATCAACAACAACAACAAGGCATCGTCTTTCAAGATCTCTCGAACCTTCCAGAAACTTCTCCGCTTCGTTTTCAAGTCCGGTAGCAATAAATCCAACAACAAGATCCGTAGCAGTAGTTTCCGATCGTATCCGAAAGATCAAGAACAGCTTGTTTACGATAAGTTGTATGAATCTGAACCTGTTCTTCTTTCTACCATTCCCGAACTTCCTGATTTTGAAACCGCTGGTCTTTCGCCGGATATCAGTAACTTTGTCAGAAAGTCAGCTTCGGAGCGGTTTACGGCCGCCGCCACCGTTGGTGTTTCGTGTAGTGCTTAATGGGGTGATTTTAATACATGATGGTGATGTAACATAACGTAATATACTAATAACGCTAGTTTCATGAAGTCAAAAGTGTATTGTAGCAATTACTACTAACGATAGCGAGTCTTTCTGGTTTTAATAGTTTTATATATATGGCGTTGTAATGAAACACGATGCAATGTTTTAAATGTTTATTTTAGATACTGTTGAATTTGGCAAATATGTGACTTGTATTATGGTTAATTGTTTTCTTTTCACTATTTGATATATATATAAAAGCAATTTGAACATAGCAAGATTCCTTAGACCTTTGACTTATATATTGTTCTTGTGATTTAAGTAAAAGAGGTGGCCTATTTTAGACTTAAGTTTAGAAGAGAGGAAATGAGAGGGCTTTAAGAAAATAGATTCATAAAAAAGAAATGTTTAAATGTAATTTGATTCTTCTATTTTGATATTTTTTTAATTTTTAATTTATTTATATTAAAAATCAGTTTTTAGATTTCTGAATTTTACATTATTAAATTAAAAATTAGTTTTTAAATTTTTAAATTTTACATTATTTGAGATTTGATTGGTTTGCTTTTAATTTTGCATATGTGAGTTGAGATAAAAACAAATATTTGTAATTATATGGCATTGATAACTCATACCGACTATGAATTGAGAAGTTATTATGTGAAATATGGACCATGAATGTTGAGTCCAATATGTCATTTAAAAATTTTGATTAATTGATTTAAAAAACATATAATAAAAATTAAATTTTATTAAAAATATAATTAATTAAATAATAAAATAATTTAATGCCGCAGCATTAAAAATATTTTTTTCCTAATCATCACTGGCAGGTATATAAAATTGGAGGGAGACCAATAAAATCTCAAATAATATAAAGTTTAGTTATAAAAAAAACTGATTTTTAAAATGGATAGATTAAAAGTAAGAAAATAATCAATATTGGAGGACCAAAAATACATTTAAGAAAGAAAAAGAATTAATATTTTTAGTAATTCTCTTTTTGTTAAGAATGATAAATAAATATTTATTATTGCTATATTTTTAATTTTTAAAATATTATAACAATATAAAATATATTTGATTTTATGGAAACTCTCTAAAGTTCTTTTTCGATACAAATTTTGAGTTTTTAAAATTAGGAAAATTTTGTGTATTGAATAAAAATAAACACCAAAAAATTTTCAACTAAAATTCTTCAACTCTTTTCACTATATATTTTTTCTTTTTTTCAAAGCACTCCCATCTCTTTACCTCCAAACTCCTAACTTAAGATTTTTGAGTTTGATACTTTCAATTAGCATTGTGAAGAAGAGTAAGAATATGTCATTATATCTTTTATCTAATACTTTAATTATCATGATGTAACTTTCCTATATATTAGTTTTAATAAATTATATTATTTCTCTCTCCATTATATTTCTTTGGTTATTATACTTTTTCTTCTTTTTGATATACTCAAAATGGGGAGAAATAGTAGTGCAATTTTGTTCTTTTTCATGATATTTTTAGGGGGATAAAATCTTTAGTTTCAAAAGATACGGGAGATATACAAGATACGAGGAGTTTCTAGTTTTCTTACAAATTGCAAGATTTGAAAGTATTAAAGTAGCTTGATGATGAAAAAGAAAATTTCAAAAGTTATTGTCATCATAAAAAAGAGAAGGTTGTAAAAAGGTCTTGATAAGACTTGTACAAGAATCTAAAATATAGTGGAAAATCCTCTAAGGAGTAGAAGGACTAAATGTATTATTAGTTGATAAGAGAAATTAGTATAATTATCTTGTGTTTTATCTTTATGCCTTTAAAATTATGCATTTTACATTAATTTTAAAGTAACATTCAACCACTTGTTTCCAATAAAATCATAAGTTAGGAAACTTTGCATAAAATCAAGAAAAATCCAACAATATTAATTTACTCATCCTCTTAGATTTCCTCTCATAGCTACAATAGAACACATTAGAATAAAAATGATTGTTTTGATAAACTTCACCATCTAGATGCGCCTGAACAAATAACTAGGATTTTTCACTCCATTCAAGTAAATTTCCAATAACCATAATTTTCACCAGCCTCCACATCTATAATATCTACAATGTAATCATGTCAGAAGAAGAAATTGAGACAAGTAAAGATGCCTTGAAGACTTGCTAGATGATTGACTTGATGGAGCTTTAGTAGATGATATCTTGGACGTTTGACTTCCCCATAAGACCTCAACATACTCCCAATGTGAAGGAACATGATGCACATCATTCTCTTGCCCCTTTTTTTTACTATTCTTATCTCCCTTTTTTGGATTGTACCTCATTGGTGCTGGACACATATAAGTTCTACATTGACATGTAAGTTCACGCACCTTTTTATTTATCAACCTCTGACCAACAATATCCAAGGTGATGAAATACCTCTTCAAACATTCATATTCTTTGTCTAAGGGTCTGTTTGGTTCAAATGAGAGGGAGGAGAGGGGAGGAATTTTAATGAAGGGGAGGTGAGTGATTTTTTTAATCAGATAAGTGTTTGGTTCGAAAGAGAGGAAGGGAGGGGAATAGAGGGATTTTAATTAAAAATGTATTTGGTTCAGAAGGGGAGGGGAGGAGTTTTATTAATAATTTACATTTTTATCCTTATGATCTTATATAAGTCATATGATATTAAAATGTGAAAAATTCATGCGTATTTTTGTTGGTAATAAAGTTTTTAATATTGAGTGATTAAAAAAGTATTTATTTGTCACATAAAATTAAAAAATTGAGTACAATTGATTCGACTTATAACTTTCTAACATAAATTAAACCATATGCCAATAACATCGTTTAAATTGTTATGAATCATATAACAAAACAAATATATAAAATAACTTATTATTAAATATTAATTGGTTCAAAATATTTAATAAAATGAATAAACAAAAATAAATAAAATGAATGGTTTAAAATTTGATATAAAAGAAAATATGATAGAATACATAACAAAATTAAAAGAAAAAAACGAATATAACTAAACATAATTTTTTTTAATAAAAAAAAGACAATGATTATGATTTATATTAAATATATAAATTATAAAATAATTTGAAGGTGGAGAACAATTATAATAAGTTGATGGAAACAATCGAGAAAAAGTAATAACACGAAAGAAAACGAATAGTTTTGAAATACTGAAATTAAACTAAGGATATTTTAGTAAATATAATAATTTTTAAATATTAAAACTCATATTCCCTCCCCTCCCCTCCAAATTCCCCCAATTCGGAGGGAACCAAAAAATGTGTTTTAGAGGGATTTTGCTCCCCTCCCCTCCCCTCCATCTACCCTGAACCAAACACACCCTAAGTCCAAATGTGTCTCACTTTCTTATTCAATGACTTCATGTTCTTCAATGTGTAATTTGTAATACCCCAACTTTACATTAATATTTAATTTAATTATTGAATTTTTTATGTGTGGTTTGATTTAATTAAATTATTTTGGATTATTTGTGTTATTTTGGCGCTTTTGGAAATTTATGGGGTATTTTAGTAATTTAAATCTCAGATGCAAATCTCAGATTTCTACCATAAACGATATTCAACGGTATCTCATACAACTTCACAACTCCCTCAGTATACATCTCGGCTAGCTTCAACATAGAATGATTAATCCTTATTGGTATAAAATAAGTTAATCTTGTCAATATATCCATAACCACCCAAATCGAATCATATCCCTTCAAATTCTTCAGAAAACCTGATACAAAAATCCAGGGAAATACTATCCCATTCCACTCAAAAATATTCAACAGTTGCATCAGGCCAAATAGTCCTTGATGTTCAATCTTCGACTTTTAACAAGTCTAACCAACATATACAACCTCAACCACTTCTCTTTCCATCTATGGCTACTAAAACAATTTCCTCAAATTCGGTCACATCTTCATAGCACCGGGATGGATACTCAATCTACCTCAATGTCCTTTTTCAATAATACTCTTTTTCCAACTCAACAATATCTGGAACACAAACTTTATCACGATATCTCATGATACCATTTCCATTAATCCGAAAATCAACTCTTCGACTTTAATTTATCAAATTCCACCAATCTGCCAACTCAATTCAGATTTATGACCTTCTTGAATCTCATCAAGAATACCACTAGTAAGCTCCAACATGCTAAACTTAACTTCATAAGAAGTCTCTTCACAAACCAAACTCATATCACGAAATCGCTCAATAAGTTCTAACTCTTTTACCATCAATATCGGTATATGCAAAGAATCCCAAATCAATGCATCAACTACCATGTTCGCTTTATCCGAATGGTAATTCAACCCAAAGCCATCATCCTTCTGAAGCACCACGTCAATCCGGCACTCAATTGGTGAGTTATGACGGAAACACGAACCGCACTTTCTGCACTTACTACAAAATCCAAACATGGTCCATAAATAAATAACTTAATTCCATGCCACTACTTCACCATCATATAGAGCATTGGAATAGATTTCCAACGCTTCGAACCGTGCTTCATTCCGAGTTACGGTTCTCCCGTTACGGCAAAATACGAAAACATCGTTCTTCTGTCCCAGGACATTTTCGCCCGACGAAGGATATCGCTCGCCTGGCGAATCTGACAGTCCGAAATTCTATTTTCGATCGTTAAATGACTTTCGGGTGCCCGATTTCGATTCTGTAAAAAGCTGTGATCTCAGAATTCAACGTAGAACAACAATTTCACACTTAGGAGGCCATTCAACACATCTTCAACTTTTGAAATATTTAAAGGCCTAATTATACCAATATTGCATTCCAATCCGACTTTCTCTAATAATCACCAGAAATCACTGTCCACCTTTAATATACTCGACCTCGCAATTTGTTGCCTTAGCACATACACCATACACAAGTCTCAAAACCACTCAATCCATTTAATTCCTTGACCATCCAAATAGACATATAATATGGAGTCCTTAATATCGGACTAGTTTCCGTAACTAAGTCGATCACAACT